CATACTAATAACTGTGTCTGCATGTACGGTCGCTGATTCTAAGAAGCGCCACAAGTGAGGATAGAGTCCTTTGTCTTTTAGGAAATCGGGAGAGTTTGATCCGGAGAGTTGAAGCAAATCGATACCTTTTCTTCCAGCAAAAGGAGCTATTATTTTAGTACTGGTAGAGCAGAATAGACCAAGAACAGCAGCAACAGGACCTCTCCTGCTGTTAGAAGGAGGATTGATGGCATATTTGACAAGATTAACAACACCAAGATTGCCACCAGGGAGACCACAAGCCTCATGTCCACTCTCAATTAGATTGAGTCTATAGTCAGGAAGGATATCAGTGCTATTGTTTATCTCTTTAATGGCTACTCTAGCTCCTGCCAATAGATCAGGGCCAGCATCCCAGTCAGCATGAGGCCGATCATCAGGCCACGGGACAAGAGCTAGCAGATTGATGTTGCCTTTCTTTTCTTCCTTCCTAGCAGCCAACGGAGGAAGTAGTAACAAGATTATAGTGAAACAAAATAATAGGAATATCTTTCCTGTAGACATTTTTGGATTAGAACACGTGCAGGCCTCTTCTTTATAATAAAGAAAACACTGATAGATCGGAAAAGAAAGCAGCTACAGAGATGAAGTAGATTGTTGGAGCTGAGAACTCGTCACATGACGTAATTTGTAAAAGCGCTAATAGGCTACTAATTGCTGCTAAGATAACACAATTTCACTTAAGAAATGATTATCAACTTAATATTAAAAATTGATTAAAAGTTAGCAACAATTATCAATATTCCTTAGCTACACCAAAAAAGGAATTCCTAACAAATAGACAAGTTGGGTACACTTACGCTCTGCAAAGCAAAGATGCTTTTGTGGCTTTATGACAATTGGAGCTAAAACCATTTATTGACCAGCAGGAATGCACTTTTATGCAGCAGATAAACCAACTATTGCTTTTTGTAGCAAAAGGTTTGGTTATTTCGTTGAAACATAAATCAAACATTAGTTTAGTTAGTTTAAGATGTACTTTATGAAGTTAATTCATATTTTATTATTATGAAAATTTAGGGAGAAAGATATGAAAATGTGCTTAACGTGTATAAATGAATAATAATAATAATAATAATAATAATAACAATAATAATATATAAATAATAATAAATTTGAATAATAATGAAGCATGGCAGTAGAAATAAATAACATAGTATGAGGCTATACAAATTAATGTCAATAAAATAATAATAATAATAATAATAATAATAATGAGTATAATTTTCGAAAAAATATAATATATATTTATATAAATTTATAATAATATATGATTCCTCTCTATTCCGGAGTATTCTTAACCCCAACATTACTTTCACCATTTCCTGTCTTACCCTTGCTCCCTCCATTAGCTAGGAATGACTCTATACCATCAGGTACAGTCTCGTTGTCCTCCTCCAGCTGCTCTTCAGGCCCGAGATAATCTGGCTCACCTGCTCGAGGAGTAAGAGGAATAGTATCAGGAGAGAATTGAAGGAGTTCACTTATAGATACCTAGGGGGGAGAGGGAGAGAGGGAGAGGGGGGGGTGGTATTTCTTATGATGTGAATGTTTAAAAAGTTGTTGTTGTTACAATTGGTACTCCATATTTGGTAGGATCGACCCATGGTCTGTGCTCTGGCCTGTTTCTTTTTTTCCATTCCGGGTACTTCTCAGCTGCTTGAGCAATCTTTAAAAATATCTAAAATAATAATAATAATAATAATAATAATAATAATAGTAATAATAATAATAATAATAATAATAATAATAATAATAATAATAATAATAATAATAATAGTAATAATAATAATAATAATAATAATAATGCAGGTTAATTTAAGGAAAGGAAAGGAGAGAAAGATAGAGTTAGAAAGATGGAGAAAATTAGTAATGAAATAAAGTTATTAATAACAGTAAAAATAATAATAATTCATAATAAAATTTGTGATCATAGGCAAAAATAAGTTTATAAACAAGGTTAGTCTATAGTGGGGGACAAGCCTGACTCAAACATAATAAGATCCACAGGGGCTGATTGGGTAATATTTTTCCGAGAGAAACGAGATCGGTGACCACGGAGGCACTGCAAAGATGAGTGAAGGAGAGCAAAGGACAGTGTCACACGCATACAAGATATGGTGTGGTTGTAGGAGTGACCTGACTTATTACTCATCAGTGATGCTAATCTCTTCAAATAATAATAATAATAATAATAATAATAATAATAATAATAATAATAATAATAATAATAATAATAATAATAATAATAATAATAATAATAATAATCTTTGTTTCTTACTCGTGGTGCTATCTTGGATGCTACAATATTCAGTAACCATTTAGGGATTTTACCTACATGAATAGCAACACAGTCATGCATCAATAAAATAATAATAATAATAAATTGTTGGTTATGCTCCCATTGACTAGAAGTGCTTACAGTAAACCTTTTGATCAAACTAATTCAAAAGGACACATACAAGAACATGTTAACATTGGAGCTACAAGGAAGAAAGACTGTCCATCACTATACTGCCTCACATAACACTATTGCTATTACTAGCATCACTATATTGCTATTACTAGTATCACTAGTATACTATCACAGTATCACTAGGTCAGTATCAGTACCTCTTGGGTCAGAGTGAGTGACGTAGCAGGCGGTACAACCTTCAGCTGCTTCTCGTACCACCACACCGGTTACCATAGATACGCCTCTGATGAATTCTTTGTTAGGTGGAAATGACTGCAGAAGAAAAAATATTGAAAAATTAATATTGAAAAATTGGCTACAAAATATGACAATTTTTCCTGATACTTATGCTATTTTGAAAGTTTGAGCTGATCCCGACTTCAATTTATTGAATTATGGCCATTTAAAAAAACGAGCCAAAATCTGAAAAAATCCCTCGCCCATGGTTTTTCCCAAAAACGGCTCCGAAATCACCATCAATTTTTATTACATTTTCTGATACATATTGATGTACTTATGCTATGTAGAAAGTTTGAGCCGATTCCGACTTCAATTTTTCAAGTTATGAGTATTTTAATATACCAAAAACTATGTACATCATAACACAGTAAGTATTACCTGGTGGCCGACCGAATGGTTAAATGTGATATATTCTTTGCCTTCAATTACCTTCCAGCATCTTTGATAGACAAAATCTCTATTCCTCAACGGGTTAGGACATTTCACTATAAAATATTAAAATAATTTTACAAAAAGTTGCAGCTGCCAAGTTCAAATATTCGCTATCAATTAAAATACTACACATACATGTCTACATGTACATGTACATGTACATATATACATATGTACATATGTATATATGTACATATACATATGAATATGTACAAGTAGACATTTCCTTTACTTGAGTAATAGCAGAGGTCACTGTTAGTTCCTTCGACTAAACAAATTGTCTGTTCTTCAAGAAGTGCTTCGTCCCACTGTGTTCTATAGTCGCTGTCTTGCAGAGTGTCATATAAAACTTGACCGGTTATTGTTTTGAAATGACAGTAGACCTAAGAAAGGATAATGATGATTATTATTATTAAAGTAACAAATGGTTATATTATTAATGTAATTTAGCAAGTTCCTTTTTAAATGTAAACAAACATGTGTACTAAAGTGAAACACATAATTATAAAGTTAAGATGAGGAATAGGATGATGAACATGTGCTTGTACTTATGAATAATGATGATGACGTAATGTAACTAATGTTATGTCATAAAGTGTAATAGGACCACAACATTATTATTAATTATTATTATTATTTACAACATTATTATTATTATTATTTACAACATTATTATTATTATTATTATTATTATTATTATTATTATTAACAGCTTTTTCAGCAGAGGTGATAATTGCTCATTGCATAAGTTACAGTTTGAATTTTTGAAATTGAATTTCAAACATGTGTACATGCACATGCAAAGTCAATTAGTAATGACAGATGCAAACATGACAATAATTGTAAGATATTTATACAAGAAACAAAATAAACCAAAAACAAAAACAATGGCTGGCTGTATCATGTTTTCTTCTTCCTTTCTTTCTCCCTCCCCCCTCTCTCTCTTCTGCTGCTCTTTACTTTTAGCATTTTCACTGTCTGTCCTGGTATCTCTCTCATCCAAACCCTGACCCCGTTCTTGTCGTGTTTCAGTAGCCATTTCTCATGATTTTCCGCCAGTCGAAGAAGATGGTCAAAATCCTCGTCTCTGGGCTGTCTGATCTCCCCCAGTTTAAAGAACCCGCTGCTGCTCCTGTCTCCTGAGTATTGTCTTCTGCTAGAGTTGCTCCCGTTCCTTTTAGACGGAGAAGGCGGCGAATGGCTGCTTGCCATTTTTCTCTTGCATAAAGAAGATATCAGATTCAGAGATATGAGGAAAAGGTGTGGCTAGGTAAATTATATGGGTGTGTACTTGCCACGTGTTAACACGTGGGCAAATTTAATGAAAATTTTATTTTTAAAAGAAGAAATGATTGACAATTTAAAGAATTTATTTATAATTTATTCAATAATAATAAAGGGACAATCTAGTAACAAATAAACACACAATCTTTTTCTGGTCTAGTTCCTTCTAACGCTAGTTACACAAAACCTCAGGGACTCGTTCCTGAGGTACCCACAGCTGGTATACTTATCCAACTGGAGCTGCCCGTGAGCCACAAACTGTGGAACGCCAAGACCACTCTCCGCTAGCTCTTGATCCAAAATTCGATCGGATATCTCCGGGGGGACGTCAGGAGTGAATGGGATCTCGTGGACAATATGTCCTCCTTTCTCTCCACCCCCGTATTGATTAATCAATTGGATCACAACGATACCACAGAAAGGCCAAGAGAGCTCATCGTCAAATTCTCCTCTCATGAGGTTAGCATACACAGAGACGTGAGTACCCCTTCCCTCGTCCGACCCGTTGCAATCCAAACTGATACACATTCTGTAGCCTTGAGGATGAGTATAAAATGGAGAGCTAAACCACTGCTTGCCGGAAGAACGAAGCTCATTAAATTTATAGACCGTAAAGTGAAAGGGCGGAGTCACAACATGAGACCGAACCTTCTGAAGGTCTTTTGCTAGTTTGGCCTGAGACTCTTCAAGTGAAGAGACAAGAGAATGAAGCTCTCCTAGTTCCTTGCTCTGTACTTGTACCTGCTCTCTTAATAAAGACAACTCCCTATCCTTCTCTTCCAGCCGCTCCTCTAGGTCCTTGTGGGTAGGGCCAGTAGGTGTGGCCTCTCTATTCATTAGCTCCCTAACCATCCTACCCATCAGGCTCATGTGAAAGTGGGCGGAGCTTTCTTCATGGACCCGTGCATCAGATAAAGGATAGGTGGAATCACAACCAAGAAATTTAAAATCACATTCGACGATTTTACGTGGACACACCTCCAAATGCTGGGGGATGTCCCTCCTTGGCATATCAATGGAGCCGCAGTCGTTAGGGCAGGGGGCGGGGTAGCCATCACAGAGCGGCCAATGGGAGGGCATGTCTTCGTAAGCACTTCTAAATGAACAGAATTTACAGGAATAGGGACGTCTGGGACACTTGTCAGTTTTATGAGTGTACAAGGTGTTCAAGGAGAACTCCTCATCACAAAAAGGACAGAGACAACGTACGAAATCACAATCTCCTTTATTTAGGTCGACATGCGTTGCCACGTCAACCAGCGGCCCCACCCACACGCACCCATCAGCATTATTAGGGCACTTCACTTGTAGTCTGTTTATGGATCGCTCAATGTTCCTATTGATGAAGACACTAAAGGTCTCTTTCTTACACAGTGGGCAGGAGTTATCTAAAGAGATGTGTTCTCTAATGCAGGTGCTACAAAAGCAGGCCCCACAGCAGTCGGTGAGGTGGGGGCTGCGTAAGACCAAGCGGCAGATAGGACAGATGAACTCATGAAGCTCTTCATGTGATGAAATGAAAGAGTAATCGTAGCCACCATAATCCTTACTGGTTGATACTACAAGGAAAAGAGAGATAGTAATGAAGTCAATCATTAACACTGTTGACACTAATTAACATTCCTCACTAATCAATCACTTACTATTCTTAGTAACTTCTTCCATTGGCTGCTGGAGCACATGTTGTTGTTGTTGTTGATTCATACCAGGTCTTGAAGGTGTCGAATAATGACGGAAATAAGCTCCACCGTCTTCCGATTCCTCGGGAACACTCCCACTATCGTAACTCTCCCATGTTCTCCTGGCCCCACCCCCCCTACCCCCGGGGAAATATCGTTGAAGATTAGCCTCAGGCTGTGAATAGCTCCTTGTTTTATGAGGGTGTGGTTGTGCCTGATTCGTCCTAATTAATAATAATGGGCTGCCCCCTTGAGCGTTAGTATACTCCATATGTTGTACGTGGGCGTTGGTCCCTCCCCTCATTCCTCCTGTGCTATTAACTCTACCCATAGCCCCGCCCACCCGTCCTTGTTCATCAGCATTACTTGGGTATACGTTATAGAGGCCACTATCAGTGACTATACGATAAGGTACTGCCGAGGGGTCCAATATTAAAACGTTTCCCAGACCCGGTACGTTTGCCTGTTGCAATTGAGGGCTCATGCTTCCACTGCGGTTCTCGGACCCCCTGGGAATATCCAGCCCCCTGGGGGGCCCGTCTCTAGATGGAATAAGGGACGGGTGCTGTGTGGGTTGAGTTTGAGGAATTGGTTGTGAATAATGATGTCTGGATATTGGCGGCTGTAGCAATGCGTCAGGTTGTGGGTGTGGCTCCCCAGTCTGAGATTGAGGTGGTTGTATTTCTTCAGAGCTAGGTCTAAGACCAGGAGGGCGGGCTGGAGCCGCGTAATACATTCCACTGCTACTACTCTCCGTTGTGCTGCTGTTGAAGGAGCTTTGAGATGAATACCCGGAGCTTATCTGACCTGAGAGTGGTGGAGGATTATCTTTTGACATCTGGAGAGCAAGAGAAGCGTATAATAAGAGTAAGCGAGTCTTATAATACGAAGGAATGATCAATCAAATGTAGTTTACTTTTAGCAGCCATTTTGAATATGACCACGCCTATAAAGGCACACCTACTTATAACTCAGGGAGGAGGATCACGTGATGCCTACTGCACATGCGCAGTGGTATCATGTAGCACGTGTTGTTCCCGCCTTTTTCAAAAGAAGAAGAGAAGAACTGAACTGAAGATGAGCTGGCAGGAGACACACACTCTCTCTCTCTCTTTCTCTTCCTCCCTCAGCTTCCATTGGTAAGTATCTACTGAATTAACCTCTTCTTTGTAGTATCCGCCATTTTACCACCACTCCTCCAGACCTCCCTCACTCCTCCCATCCCTGGGTCTGGTAAGTGGTTTGTTAATTATTATCCTCATTATAGGTACAGCTATTGAAGACTAACCCAGGATGTTTCAAGTTGTATGGTAGTGTGTGTGTTATATCATATTATACTAGCTCTATTGTTTTATGTAGGACAACCAGTCAGTATTTCAATGATCCATTCATTCATTATTGGTACGTGTGTATTATTATTATGTACACTCTATGTTTGTAGGTAATAAAGTCCTGCCCTAATCTTTATACATGTACGTGTACATACGTATGCATTCTAGTGTACTCTTGTATATTTTTAGGATATTACTCAGTATATTATTTCAAGTGTCGTACGTACTTATATTATGCATTCTAATGTACTCTTGCATATTTTTAGGATATTACTCAGTATATTGTTTCAAGTCTCATCAATTGTACAGTAAATATGTGTTATGTGGTAGTTATGTCATTTTGGTAATAAATGAAAAATTTTACGTGTATTCTTGTTAATTTCCAGGATATTATCAGTATTCTAAAGATGAAACTACCTACAGTACATCAACTATATGGTATAGTCAGGCCATGTACATGTATATATGTTTAACTATTTATACATGTACACACACTCTTGTTTTATTCAGGATATTATTAGAATATTAGCACTGTAGCAGTTTCTTCAGATCCTACTACAATTCATCCAGTGTGTGGTTCTCTATTGGTTAATGATATCCACACACCATCATGTACATGTACATCCTTATCTGTAACATGTATTCTATTCCCTTTCCTTAAGATTGCTACATAGACTCAAGCCAGCATGCAGTCTTCTTCAGCATCAATTCACTCCAAGTCTTCAGTGTATGGTAACAATGTATCTATTGCATGTTATTAATAACCTTGATTACAGTGCTAATAATAAACGGCTCATTTTATCACTATTCATCCCATTACATGTAATAAAGCACTGTCCCATTGATCTTTACTTATTCTATTGTTTAAACATTTTTCTCTTTTTTATTTCTACAGGGATCAAGTTTAAAGTTGGTTGAGTGTGAGGTAGAGTGAGAGTTAATAATGTGTAATTACGCATGTTTATAATGTATTTTATGCATGTACAATATAATCCACACATGTCCTTCCACCCCCCCCCCAACCTCTAGTAGGCCTCTGACTGTTCTGGACTGGACTGGACTTAGGATCAAGTTTAAAGTTGGTTGAGTGTGAGGTAGCATGAGAGTTAATAATGTATAATTACGCATGCTTATAATGTATTTTATGCATGTACAATATAATCCACACATGTTCTTCTTACCCCCCCACCCCCTCTAGTAGGTCTGACTGTTCTGGACTGGACCCTGGTAAGTATTGATTGCATGTTCTCCGTTATTACATGTAATGGGATGAATAGTGATAAAATGAGCCAAAGGTTTAAAATTTTGAATAATAAAAAAAGAAAAAATAAAAGCAAAAAAAATTATTATAATTAATTAAAAAGTAGGTAGGGCTAGTGGAGTTATAACCACACCCCCAATTAGTGAAGCTATAGTCACACCCCCAATTAAAATACCAGCCACACCCAGTACCAAATGGGGTGTGGTGGATATAGTGTGCCAGCTGGCCAGGGGGAATAACATTTGTTTGCTTTTGCAACTTCTAAAATGATAATATTTATATGATACAATATACTGATTATTATTTCTTTATAAGTCCTAACGATTGTCTCCTCATAGATATTGCTCCACTGCTGCCTAGCCCAGTTCCTGCATTATGAATTAGTATTGGTTACAAAGGAATGGGTTTGTTTGTTTTGTAATGTAAGACGGTTTCAATGAACTTTCCCTGTAGTGTTCCGTTACATTAACCTGCCACTGTGGGTCTAATTCGGGTAATTCTATAAGGTGCTATTATGTCATTTGTATTGGTGCTTAAAATTGAATAAACTTGACAGGCTGACAGCTAAGCATGTAATTGTACTCATGTTAAAGATATTCAATTTTAAGGCAGTTTCAAATATTTTACTTTCACATCACATCCTGTACGTAAGATTCTGCATCATATTCCTGAATACATGATGTTCTCAGTTCAACAGTTCAGTTAATGAGTTATGTCTAACATGCTTCCTTTTTAGAATGAGGATGGAACAAGGATAAGTGCATTAGAATTAGGATAAGTGTTGCATATCAACTTACATTATTGTTAGTAAGTGCGTGAACTCATGACACATTCCTACTGTTTCCCATCCTGTCCAGTCACATCCTTTCCTTTGACTGATGTGGCATGATATCATCCTTAGGCTGTAAATATTCACAGCTGCAGACCTGCTATAAAACCAGCTGGAACAACTCGGCAATTTCAAAACAAGTTTAGTTAAGCAAGTTCGATAAAACTCATTTTGATAATAATCGCCAAATTCTAGACATAATGTGTGGACAGCCTTCAGCTCTGAATCCTCTCATTTCTCAAAAACTGAGGAATCTTTTCGAAGGAGTTTCTAAGCTCCAGAGTTCGATTCCAAAAGATGTTGATCTAAGAGGTACAGATATCTGTGTTGATGACCTACAAGCAATATCAGTCCTACCTGAGACCCTGTACCAGTACTCACAGCTGTTGAATAATTTATCAGAAGAATGGGATAAACTCCTGCTGACTAGTGATGATTTGGGTACAGTAACATCTTATGATGGAAGTGTATTCAACCCACAAGAAGTATCACTAGTACTGGTGATACACTGTATTATATCAGATATGGAAATGGTAAGATATTATCATCATTATTATTATTATGATTATTATTTTCTTTTTTTCTATAGTTGTTAGCTGATATAAATGAATTACTGTCAGCTGCTCCAGTCAATTACACTGATTTCATTAACAATGTGTATTTCCTCATCGCTCTACCTCAGTTTCTCTGTCAGATGACTCAAAAAGAAGATTCAAGAGTTTTCCCATCGCAATCTATTGAAAGTCATCTGAAAACCATGACACAAAAGCTACCGAACTTTTTCGAAAGACTTCAAATTAATACCAATGTACAATGATATTCATTAGATTTATTATATCAAAGTTTGCATTTGTAGTATCTGTGGTTTGTGTTTTTTTGCTAATTAATTAATAATAATTATTAATAACAATCATTTGAGGGGTGTGGTTTATTATTATTAATAATAACCTGACCACGTGGCTAATACTGATAAAATCACGTGATCCTACACATGGTAAAAAATGGAAGGAATGCAGAAACTCGTGAAGAATTGGTCCTCAAAAGGCAGAGAAGAAGCGTAAGACATTTTAATGTAATCATTTTAAATTTATTTTTAACAGGTTGGCTCTTTTCAAAGAGAGTTTTTCGACATTTAATCATGACAGCATACTGAGTCTTCACAGATCTGCTGAAAGCTGTAAGATTAATAAATAAATAAAATAAATATTTAAATGCTTTGTTTATTGTTTACTTGTAATTATGTGCGTGGGTGGTCGATGCATATACAGGTGGGCTTTAATTGGAAGGTTAGCTCTACAGCTGCTTAATTAATGGCCTAATTAATTAACAATAATTGAATTTCTTGGATTGTTGTGTCTTTTTGATGTTATCCATTTCCTCTCTTCTTCCATCTTGTGTCTCCCCCTTTCCTCTTCCCCTCCTCCCCCTACAGCTTTATATGGATTGTTTTACGATCTCTTCTCATGTTGTATTAATAATGAGATTGATTCAGATGAGGTTGGGGATTTCTGTAAATCACTTTTAACGTCATTAGTAAGTGTCTGGTACACAACATAAGTACATGTATATGCATCAGAAAATGTAATAAAATTGAGGAATTTTGTACTTGTCAATTTTGGTGAAATTTCACAAAAATCCCTGTACTATAGTACAGGGACTTTTGTCCAATTTTGGAGCAACTTTAAAAAATCATAAAAAATCCAAACTTGATTGGAATCAGCTCAAACTTTCTACACAGCATAAGTACATGTATATGCATCAGGAAATGTAATAAAATTGAGGAATTTCCTACTTGTCAATTTTGGTGAAATTTCACAAAAATCCCTGTACTATAGTACAGGGACTTTTGTCCAATTTTGGAGCAACTTTAAAAAATCATAAAAAATCCAAACTTGATTGGAATCAGCTCAAACTTTCTACACAGCATAAGTACATGTATATGCATCAGGAAATGTAATAAAATTGAGGAATTTCCTACTTGTCAATTTTGGTGAAATTTCACAAAAATCCCTGTACTATAGTACAGGGACTTTTGTCCAATTTTGGAGCAACTTTAAAAAATCATAAAAAATCCAAACTTGATTGGAATCAGCTCAAACTTTCTACACAGCATAAGTACATGTATATGCATCAGAAAATGTAATAAAATTGAGGAATTTTCTACTTGTCAATTTTGGTGAAATTTGACAAAAATCCCTGTACTATAGTACAGGGACTTTTGTCAGATTTTGGAGCAACTTTAAAAAATCATAAAAAATCCAAACTTGATTGGAATCCGCTCAAACTTTTTACACAACATAAGTACATGTATATGCATCAGAAAATGTAATAAAATTGAGGAATTTTCTACTTGTCAATTTTGGTGAAATTTCACAAAAATCCCTGTACTATAGTACAGGGACTTTTGTCCGATTTTGGAGCAACTTCAACTTCCATTCAATTATATCTTTTCTTCACTATACAGGACTCTTCTCCAATCCTCTCTTCTCTCATCACTGACGTATTATCATCATTAGGTATTTCATTAATATTCATATAACTATGCCCCTCCCCCTGCCCCTCCCCTTTATAAGATGCTGAGGTCTCATGCAGTGAAGACAAGTCTCAAAGAAAGTCGCTGAGGTCTCTAACCCTCTCACTAGTGGTACGTTATTATCACAATATGGTACTAATAAAGTTGATGATGTATTTTGTGTAGAGCGTGACTGGTGATGATTTATTGAAGGAAAGATTAGATATGGACTCGCTGGAAGGAGCTGGTTTCATATCATCAAAGAACAGCTTCAATCAAAAATATGTGAAGACTAAAACTAAAATATAGTAAGCAGTTTAATCCGTGAATATATTAATATTCATTATTATTATAGTATGTATATGTATTAGATATTACTGTATATTATTAGTATGTATGTGTATTATTATTATTATTATTTATATTTGTTTATTTGTCTATTCTCATCTTCCATTTCCTCTCTCCTTCCTCTCTCTCTCTATTTGTAGTTATAAGCAACAGAAATTTAATCTTTGCCGCGAGGAGAACGAAGGATTCTCAAAGCTCATAAGTAAACTAAGAGCATCATTAACTGACTCTCTCTTTACCTTATAAGGCGAGCTGGGACATGAGCCTCTGGTGGGCGTGGACCATGGACAAGTACTGGACAGCATCAAGTCATTAATAGGTTAGCTAACCATTAATATATTAACCACTGGTTAATTGAGTTGTGCTGTCATTAACATTACAATATTAATCACTAGTTGTTCAATAATACACTATCATACTGTCTTTCATTTGTAGGTAGATTCAGTATGGATCCTAATCGTGTTCTGGATGTCATTCTTCAAGCGTTTGAGTCTCATTTCGACCAGCGACACTTCTTCATACCTTTATTAAGAAGCTACCCTTGTTCCCCATCAACCTTCATTAATATACTCGGGTTCAAGTATCATACTTACCACCTGGTGAGTTCCCTTACAGAGGGTAACATTTAAAAGGGAAAGGCTCCTAATTTATAAGAAGCCATAACATGAAAGGGTGATCCTTTACCAAACTTTTTAAAATTAAGTTAAAGTTAGTCAATCATGGGAATTAGCTAAAAGTTCCCTCCTGTAAAATTACCAGCTGTACAATGTACTTGCCCATGTATGTACACGTAATTGTTATCTTTAATTATAGTCTGATTCTGATGGTCAGTGTCCCCCTACCCCTCCCTCTCTCTACTCCCTCACTGCTGTACTGCTGAACGAAGGAATGATTAATATACATGGACTCACACCTCACGTAAGAAATGGGTGGAGTTAGGGGCGGAGCTTAGCTGAGTCTATTAATAGTTACGTCTATCAATGGAAGAGTTTAAGGAGCTCCACCAGTCAATAGCTGATAATGCTAATGCTATTTATAGAAAGGCCAATATAGTGACACTGACGGTGAGTGTAGGTCACCTGACTGTCATGTGATGACGTGATTTGTAGGACAAAACTGATGAGGAGAAGGAGAAAGAGGCAGAGGCAGCTCAAAAATTAAAAGTATTTTAATTTGATTTGGTTTAATTTGATTTCACACTCTTTGCCTCTCGTTCGATCTCCCCAGGAAGATCATAAAGCTAAGCTATCCCTTGAACATAACCAGGTCCTTGGGATATGCCACGCCTGTTTAGAACAAGGAGACTGGCCGTCCGCTAGATCAATCATTAACCAGCTACCCCCAAACCTTGCAATGGCATCGCCACAGCTGGTCCAGAGCTTATGTAGACTAGTTGAGTATTGTATAGAACCACTTTATAGACTGTAAGACCAGCTGCTGTGGTAATGTGTATTTGAAATTATCTCTTCTCTCCTAGTCACGCCCCACGTGGCACCACTCCTTCTCCTTTATCCTCTTCCTTCTCCATCTCTCGCTGTCAGTCATTTAAAGATATGGTTCCCATGGCGATGGAGATGATCTATGCCTTAGGGCCACACCTCCACAGTGACCCGATCCTATTGTGTAAGATAGTTCGACTGGGTAAAGCCTTTTTGAAAGAGATGTTCCCTGGCAGTGATCCATCCAGAACCATCACTAACGAACACCTCGAGAATGTAAGAGTATTCATTGTTGAGGAAATACACACATCATGTACTAGTACAATGTGTTAATGGTGCGACCCACGATAGCCTCACTCTGTTTGGTCAGTTTATAAGCAGCTGGAGCTGCATTTGAATGTCACTGGAGTATTCCTGTTAGACCACATATTTAACAGAACAATTTTTGAATGGGACTTCAGTGTCCCTGTGATATTATCAAATAATGATGTGCTGTACATGTAGCTGTAGTTGCATGTTTTACGAAATCTCTCTCTTTCCCCAGGAGGTTTTGAGATGGTTCTTATCAATCATTGATGGTGTGGTCCTTCCTTCTCTATCAATGTTACAGTTTAATTGTGGGATGGCGGAAGAGGTGTGGTCTATGATTAGACTCCTCCCGTATGAAACAAGGTAATTAGTAATTAGCCTCGTGTGTGTGGGCGGGTAGGGGGCTCAAGTGCTGATAGGTGTGTCTGTACTGATCATATTGTAGCTCTAATGTTGTGTCAGTGAAGTAAACAAACACATTTTTTTAGTATAAACAATTCATGCGATATGTAGTAAACACGGGAATAGGGAACGGATTAATAATATTGAAGACTTAAAAAAACAACAACTATGTATATTTATTTATTATTGTTTGTTGTTTTTATTAATTTGTTTATTGAACTCCAATGGCTTCCACCCTCGTCTGATAGTCTGGGAGTGTCTTTGTTATTTTTTCAATTCCGGCTCCAAACTGATGAGAAGGAAAGTCTTTTCCAGCCGGCCCTGTTTGACACATGTACTGCATTGAAGCAATGACAGCATAGATCTTATTGATGGCATCGGAATATTGGAGGGAAGGACCAGCTGTTAGGGTTTTATTAGCTTCAGTTAGCAACTGGAGAGAGGGGGAGAGAGAGAGAGAGGGAGAGGGAGTGGAAAGGTATGATAAAGGTTATGATGAGCTAATTCGATGACATGTATAATCCTATTCATCACATTGTGTGTTGTAGTCTTGTAGTGGTGTTGTTTTTGCTAATTAAATTTCACACCAATCTGTCGGCAATTGCGATTATAATTTTTGAAATAATTTTACACTTAATTGCTTTACTATATATTAAAAGTAATTGTATGGTTACATGTACATATGCTCTACACTGCTTTCCTCTTTCTCTCTCTTCTCTCTTGGCAGTCAGACAAGTTTGGCATTTAATATTCTTTTAAAGTGTAAATAACAGCAGCACATGCTGCCAATATTTGCAGTGAGATTTGTATAATATTTAACCCTTTGACAACAGAACACCACTGCAGCTGTCAACAAGCAATCATCAAAATGTCCAAAATTTAAATAATAATAATAATAATTATCATAGTAATAATAATAATGATGATGATAATATCTTACCATTTCCATGTCTGATATAATACAGTGTATCACCAGTACTAGTGATACTTCTTGTGGGTTGAATACACTTCCATCATAAGAAGTTACTGTACCCAATCCATCACTAGTCAGTAGTAGTTTATCCCATTCTTCCGATAAATTATTCAACAGCTGTGAGTACTGGTGCAGTGTCTCAGGCAGGACTGATATTGCTTCTATATCGCTGGGGGTCAGTCCTGGAGTGGTTCCAGCTGGATCTGTTGTAATTCCCTCCTTTATTTTGGAGAGGGTCTGTTTCAAATTTGTTGATATTTCTTGTATTGAGGAAATCTTCTCTGCTACTTCTTTCTCCATTTTATTATAATAATCAACTGTCTCCTTCTCTTTCACTATGTTGCTATCTTGTCTCTCTCTGTCTCTTTCTTTCTGTTTTATACCCATTGGTTCAATAAGGGAAGTGCCACTCCCACTTAATTAACTTTGTGTGGGCGGTATATGACAACTTGTTTATGTATGTAGGTGGGCAGCCATATTTAGTACGTGATGCTAATGTTGTGTGATATCATAATTATTTAAAGCATGTCATATATGGTAATGTACATATGTACATGTCACTTTAAAACTATTTGTACTTTTATACCATCTATTATTATAATAATTATAGGTTAATTCTTAGGTTTTATTAGTAATTGTGACTCATGTCTACCTGATCATGATCTATTAGTGTCCTTTATCCTTTCCCCACCCCCCCTCTCCTGTTTCTCCTTATATGTTAAAGGTACATGTTGTATGGCTACTGGAAGAATGAGAGTTACAGCAATCACCCTGACCTGCTTATAGTTAAATGTGATACCTTGAATAAAGGGAAGTACATTATGAAGTAAGTGTGTACCTAGTGTATGTGAACTGGTCTATTTTTAATGTTCTCTCTCTCTCTCCCTCCCCCTCGCCCCCCCCCCTCTCTCCCTCTCTCTCTCTCTCTCTCTCTCTCCAGACGACTAACTAAAGATAATGTGAAGCAGTCTGGTAGACAGTTGGGTAAGCTAAACAACAGTAACCCTGGAATCATATTTGATTATGTGAGTCACTCCTTACAAGAACTTAAGAACATACTACCATCATCCCATATATGCAGTACACAATCCTAACTTGTGTTTATCTATACAATACATAAGTACATTGTGTATGATTAGTATCTGCATTATGTGTATTTTGATAAGGGCCTGGTTTGGTTTTGGGTACAATAATTGGAGGTGGTCTGTCTTTCTGTCTCTACCTTTCCTCTATAGTACAGAATACACAGTACAGAATACACTTAATACATGGTACATTGGCATGTGCATGACATGTGCTTGACATGTGATACCTGAGATTCAGTTTTGGTTTTGGGTATAATATCAATGAAAGTACATGTACATGTATTCATGTGCTGCTTTTTGTTTATCATAAGGACATTGTACTCTTTGATCAGTCATATCTTTATAACATTTGGGAATTCTTTTCTCTCCAGGTTCTATCTCAGATCCAGCGTTACGATAATTTCATTATTCCGGTCGTTGATTCTTTGAAGTACTTGACGCCAATAGCTTACGATGTACTGGCATGTATCCTTTAATGAGTGGGTGTGGCTATTAATAATTAATTAATATTACTAACGAAGGGGGCATCCCCTTCCATCTATTCTCTTGTTTAAACTGAATATAACGAGATCAGTAATGTACCACGCCCCCATTATTAATGTTATCAAGCTCCAGGCCACGCCCAGTACGCTCCATGATACCTTTATCACTGGTCCCTCGTACTCGTATGGGTCAAACTCGTAATCCAAACCTGATTTGAGACAGTAAGCCACCAGTGGCATTAGGGTGAATAGAATACCTATAGAATTAATTATTAGTGGGTGTGGCTGTTAATAGGTGGGTGTGGTTATCAATTAATAATGTACTTTACCTATAATAGCTTGAGGTATTGCTAGTTCCCATCTCTCAATGTAGAAGTTGGCTGCTCCTCCAATGGCCAGTGCAGCTGCATATATAATAGCGATAGTCTGCCTCTTCCTAATATCATAACATGTTCTAGTTACATTATCATACAGTGTACAGTCTGGGAGTGTGTAGCATTGGTTCCTTGTAGTGTTTAATATGAAGCAGCTGCTGCAGTGGCAGAGTCCTTCATGACTGCACTGCACGTACTGCGAGAGGTTTTGGTTATTGAATATTTCAGGGTTACAGTCCTTGTCTTGTATACAATAGTTAATTAATGGCTTCTCTTCTTCTTTATAGTGCTGTGGTCTAGTAAAAGATAATAATAATAAAATAATAATTAATGGCAATAGGCTAGTGGCCATATTGTCCTATTGTAGACTGGTAGACTCTTTCTTTCTCTACTGTTAGGCTGTAATGGTTGTGCGTTAGTTTGTTATATTATTAGTATATTGTTAGTATACTATTAATGCATAGCAGCTGGTGTTTCTGTAGTCAGTTTATTACTACATGTTAACACTTTACCAGTTACTAATGGCTGTGACTATATTATTATTATTATTATTATTATTATTATTATTATGTGGATATGATGTCATATTTCAGACAATACTTATTAAGTAATGATGAGTTCTTAGTCTCCGTACTGTCTGATCCACTCCTGTATTATACTGTATTATTGATACCTGATACTCTATCATATAAATTCCTTAACAGTTCATGTATAGACTGTATCATAGAGGCACTGGGTAACCCACAGAAAGAGCGGTTGAAACTAGAGGATACAAACCTCTCCAGCTGGTTACAGATACTGGCCTCCTTCTCTGCTAATATATTCAAGAAGTACCCAGTAGATCTCACCGGGTTATTGCAATATGTGACCAATCAGCTTAAAGCAGGGAAGAGGTACAGTAGGTGGATCTATGCTTCCTTTTTTTATTAAATGTCATTTAATCTCTTCTCTAGTTTTGATCTATTGGTACTAAAGGAGGTGATACAGAAGATGGCTGGTATAGAGATTAGTGATGAGATCACAGCTGCTCAGTTGGAGGCAATGGCTGGAGGAGAACTACTGAAAGCTGAGGTAAGATCATACTTTTACTTATAGAAAAGTAAAATAATTAATCAATTACTAAAAAGTTATGCTGCTACATGTATCTACCAAAAATATCTCAAAAGTTTAAAGTTTTTATGTACGTGTAGTTTTAGTTTTTTCTTTGCTTTCATTTGATCCTTTTCCCTCCATTTGGATGCTTTCAGTTCGAGCTCTGCTGTTGCTATTTTGGCAATATTGATAGAGAAAATATATCCAACAGCTCAACTGTATGAAAAACATAATCAATAACAGGCCCAGTGACACTGTTAGAAATGCTACTCTAAGTTTGTAGTTGCGTCTTGTATGTGTTGCAATGTTGAAGTGTTGGGAGCAATCCAGTGGTAGCTCATTATCAGCAACAAAGACGAGCCCATTGATTATTACTGCAAACACTGCAACAATAATAAGGGAAATGCTACATAGCCAGCCCTTGGCAGCCAGGGTCTCTTTCTTGCTCTTTTTCTTGTTCTTTAAATAGATATTAAATGCTTGAGAAATCCCATAAACAGTTTCCAGTATAGCGATGAGGATTATCCCTCCATACAGTACCCAGAGGGTGTTGTATTTCCTAGTACGACACGTATCAGTGGTTAGACTGATGAGGTTATAGAGTATTGTAAATGTTGTATCAACCTCTGGTATAATGGCAATGGTTAGTATTACTGCATAGAACAATGATTCAGCAAATTTCACTGGATTGGGTTCATTCTCCTTCTTGTATCGGCAGTTCTCACATGATTCAGGATTCTCTGACAAAGAATAACTTTTGCTTGGACACATCTGGCGCAAAGTATTGATGGAGCTTTTGCCACATTTTGTGATGTATGGAATAGCGTTGAATCCTAATTTTGCCCCAATGAGTGATATTATTGATAGAACAGTTAGATCTCTTTTTTCAATATCATCATTAGTGTGAGAGTTGTTCACGTTATCTCCAACAAAGTATGCAACAGAAGCAGTGATGGCCAGTCCAAATTGAATGATAAACCAGAAAATTTGTCCAGCCGTTTCTTTTTTATATTTTTTGAAATAAGCATTCAGTATAACGGCTGTTGTGACTGTTGCAAAAGAAAGAACTAGTATACCATATCCTGTGAGGACAGAGTATGTGAGGTCTTGACTCTCTTTGCTGAATTCCCCAGTGTCTAGCAGTGCTCCATAAGCAATAAGTGTCCCTAGTATATTAAAGGGCACTATTAGTGCTTTTGCTGTAGCTATTATCACCGATTCCTTTATTTTATAGATTTCCTATTGGAGGAATTATTATTTTTAATGTTATTTTGTATGTTGCACGAACCTCTTTTTCATCACCCATCCTGCTTCAAAAGATTCAACTGAAACAGAAAGTCTTTAATTATTGTAGTACCTGTAGCTGCTCTCTCCAGTGACTATCCCAACAGCACAGCAGTTAATGGTGATTACTGCTCACTCTCAAATTAAATTTATATTAGGTGGGTCATGATGTAAGTGGGAATGGGTTCGTTAATATTCATTATATTGATAATGTGTTGTGATGCTTGATGATGTATTGTGTATCAATATTGAAAGTACTTTGATATTCATTGGCCTCGCCTACGCGAGGTATAGGTAGTTGTTGTGTGTGTCTGTCATTCATTCATTCATTCTGTACAACTGAAATTTGTTTTTAATAAACAATAACTTTAGCACAGCGTGTTCTAAGCTCCTAGATCTTTCTTTTTGACGTGGAAAAGTCTTTCTTAACTGTTTTGTGTTGCTCAAATACAAGTGCTAGGTACAGAAGCTTCAAAGTAAGAAAATCGAGTAGTTGGGCCAAGTTCCGTTGTGTTGGCACTTTAGAGATAGCTGGTAGCATTTTTCAGTAGATTAGAACATGGCCTTCAAAAATTATGAACAGATTTCTCTAAATCTTACTTGATGAAGAGTTATACTTACTTGAAATTGTTGAGGTCACTCGTTTGTGCAGCGCTAGAGCAACAACTTGCTGGGTTATAGGTACTAAAGTACCTACACTATCTCAAATATACAAAGGTAGCAACTTTTTTTGTCAGCAAGTTTATCATATATTGCTGATTAGTAAAGAAAAAGTGAAGCTTCTTTCTCACATGGTCTTCTTGCTGACACTCATTCCAATCATGGAATGCCACACCTTTCAATCTACATGCATGGGAGGGGCTGGAGCTGCTTGCATGTATGTGCTGCAGTGCTGCTACTTCTGCAGGTATTCAAGAGCAAGTGCAACTGCAGGAAGCTAGTGTTGAGCAGACTCTCTTCATGCTGATAATCAAACAGTTATTGAAGTGCGGGCATGCACCATAGCAGCTATAGGGGCGAGGCCATGCACCGTAGGTGTCTCGTAGTTCTAGCAATAGTGGGTGGAACAGTTCAATTATATTCATATTAGTGTTTCTGCACTTAAGAGTATGACCATTTGAATGATAGTGTTTAGTTTTTTTCACATTTTAAATAAATTTTTGAAGGTTCTAAAACTCAAAAAATTACTACTGCATGTAATTTGGCCAGCACACTATATCTATGAAAATAATTGTAAGAAATAAAAAATCTAATTTAGTTTTATGCATGATTCTAAATCATGAATGAATACTGCAAAAAGTTTAGCAGACTTTATCAGCAGAAATTTTCACTTTCAGTTTTTATGTACATGCCACATGTAGTTCTTTAGTTGACTGCAGTCCTGGAGTCATTTGGAGTATCCTCTTCAGATTTCATCTCCGTTGATTCTTCCTTTTTGAATTCTTTCCAATACAAATTAATGAACCTCCCCCAACATATTCCGCCCATAATTACTATAGTTGATGAAAATATGAAGGAGATTACTAAAAGTACTATTCTGAAGGTGTAGTTTCTTGTCTCGAATGTTCTGTCTTTTTCAGTTATGCGAAAGTGTGGCGAGCAATCCAATGGCAGCTCATCAGCAACCAAGTAGCACCCGATACATATTACTGCAAGGACTGATGTGACGATGGAATATGTGATCCAGCGACAGAGGGTTTTCTTCCAGTTGGTCTTATCTTTGTCGTATATGAAATTATGAAATGCCTCACAGAATGCATTTATAAATTTCATTATGATGATACCTATTATTCCCCCATACATTACCCAGAGTACATTGTATTTCCTCATGTGGCAGTCATTTCTTGTAAGACTAACAAGATTACCTAATGTTGTGTACGTTGCATCCACCTCCGGTACAAGACTTAGCGTCCTCACTGTCGCGTAAAAGATCAATTTAGAAAACTTAACTTCTGCCAAGTGTGATTCTTTTTTGGATTGGCTTTGCTTCTGAAGCAAAATTTCCAAATGTTGTTGAAAAATTTTTTTATGGGCAGCCAAAAATTGAATAGTAATTTTGCAGCAATGAGATATATGATGGATTGAACTGTGAGATCTCTTTCCTCTGCTGCACTGTCAGTACTCACCTCTGTCTTGCTATCTCCCACTAGGTATATGATGTTAGTACCAATCACAAAAAGCAAGTCCAGTACAAAATTCCCAATTTCTTTAAATAGTTCTGTTCACCATTTGTTTTTATAAGCTTTGCAAAGGTTCACTGCTGAGTTGGCTAGCAGAAAAGCAACACTAGTCACTGCATATATTAGCCCCAAGCATGTTAGTGTAGCTCTTTGGTTTTCTCTGCTAAAATCTTTTCCATTTAGCATTGCTCCAGTAGCAATGATGGAGTACAGGATATCAAAGGGAACT